TCACCCTAAGCAATGCCGCCCGCTCCTCTCCGTTCCGCCCCGCTTGTTGCTGGCGGGTACGGGCGTCTGGGGTACTTTCCTGCTGGGAGTTGCTTTTAGGCACGTAATCTGTGGGCCTTGTTTAATTTTTCCTCCCAGTTAGAATGCAGAAAACTTCCCCCAGTCCCGCCAGTGAGAGGGTTTCCTGGTGATTGGAAACTTCCTTTATTAAGACTCCCTTCCTGGGACGGGTCTCCGTCCGTAGCTCTTTTGACTCCCTTATTATCGTTTATATTTTGTCCTACCTCTCTTCGAAGACAATGGGCTGCTTTTCTGGGCGCCTGATGTCCTCTGCTAGCGATCAGAAGTTGTTTTGTGAAATTTGCTCAGCATTCAAATGTTCTTTCGATGAATTTGTAGGAGAGAAAGTGGTCTCCCCGTCCTATTCCTCCGCCATCTTGGCTCCTCCCTCGTTACTCAGTTTATAAAGAAGACGTATATAAACAACAGAATACTGCTCAGCCATAAGAAGAGTGAACTTTTACCATTTGCAGCAATATAGATTGACTTTGAGGATATTATGCTAAATGAAATGTCAGAGAAGAAAAGTAGAATATGATATCATTTATATGTGAAATCTGAAAAATACAACAAACTAAAGAAATAAACTGAATAAAACAAAAAAGAAGCAGACTCACAGATAAAGAGAACAAACTAGTGTTTCCCAGTGAGGAGAGGGCAGAGGTCAGGAGTACAGAGGCAGGGATGAGTAAAAGCGTTATTATGGGATTATATGAAATCAGGTGTGTGAAACTTTTGAAAATTTTAAAGCACTGTAGAATTTAAAGACTCATTTAATAAATGCAATACAATAAAATAAATAGTAAAGTTACTAAGTTTAAAACAATTAAAAGGCTGCTTATTATTATATATTATATTCTTCATAATTCTAGGTCCAGGGTTTTATAATATTCAAAATGATACGTTCATCGACAACTTTAGCCATACCTCCTGGAAGAAACCAAAGAAAAGTGCATTTGGTTCTTCTGTTCCTCGGACTCTATTCCTGGTTCAGAAAGAAGTTTTTACTACTCCTGGGCCTGCTGATTATAAGGTAATATGTGAATACCAAAATTATATTATTTATATCTCATACAGAGAATTTAGAGTTTACAAAATTACTTGTGGTATATGTACCTCATTATTATAAGCCATACTGTTATTGTTAAAATTATTTACGTGTGGTCACTTATGGCATTGAAAACAAAAATTAATTTGGTTCAAGCTATGCTTATACTTTCTTTTTAAAAAATAGATCTTATTTGGGAATTCCCTGGTGGTTAGGTCACCATGCTTTCACAGCTGAAAGTGTGTAGGTGCAAGTTCAGTCCCTGGTAGGGAAATTGTGATCTCACAAGCCATGTGGTATGGTTAAATAAAAGGTTTTATTATTTACCTCTTTGAAGATCTCATATACTTTTGGCATTTGGAATTTTCCTGGGCCAGATATCAAACCCATGCCCGCTGCACTGGCAGGTGAATTCTTATCCACTGTACCTACAGTGAAGTCCTCACTTCAGTTTGGTTCAGTCCTCAGTCATGTCCGACTTTTTTGCAACCCCATAGACTGCAGCACACCAGGCCTCCCTGTCCAATATCAACTCCCGGAGTATACTCAAACTCATGTCCATTGAGTTGGTGATGCCATCCTACCATCTCATCCTCTGTCGTCCCCTTCTCCTCCCACCTTCAATCTTTCCCAGCAGCAGGGTCTTTTCCAACGAGTCAGTTCTTCGCATCAGGTGGCCTAAGTATTGGAGCTTCAGCTTCAGTAACAGTCCTTTTAATGAACACTCAGGACTGATTTCCTTTAGGATGGACTGGTTGGATCTCTTTGCAGTCCAAGGGACTCTCAAGAGTCTTCTCCAACACCACAGTTCAACTGCATCAGTTCTTCAGCACTCAGCTTTCTTTATAGGCCAACTCTCACATCCATACATGACTACTGGAAAAACCATAGCCTTGACTAGATGGACATTTGTTGGCAAAGTAATGTCTCTGCTTTTTAATATGCTGTCTAGATTGGTCATACCGTTTCTTCTAAGGAGTAAATGTCTTTTAATTCTGTGGCTGCAGTCACCATCTGCAGTGATTTTGGAGCCCAAAAAATAAATTCTGTCACTGTTTCCACTGTTTCCCCATTTATTTGCCATGAAGTGACGGGACCAGATGCCACGATCTTAGTTTTCTGAATGTTGGGTTTTAAGCCAACTTTTTCACTCTCCTCTTTCACTTTCGTCAAGAGGCTCTTTAGTTCTTCTTCACTTTCTGTCATAAGGGTGGTGTCATCTGCATGTCGGAGGTTATTGACATTTCTCCTGGCCATCTTGATTCCAGCTTGTGCTTCATCCAGCTCAAAATTTCACATGATATACTCTGCATATAAGTTAAATAAGCAGGGTGACAGTATACAGCCTTGACGCACTCCTTTTCCTATTTGGAACCAGTCTGTTGTTCCATGTCCAATTCTAACTGTTGCTTCTTGATCTGCATACAGGTTTCTCAAGAGGCAGGTCAGGTGGTCTGGTATTCCCATCTCTTTCAGAATTTTCCACAGTTTGTTGTGATCCACACAGTCAAAGGCTTTGGCGTAGTCAGTAAAGCAGAAGTAGATGCTTTTCTGGAACTCTTTTGCTTTTTTGATGATCCAGCGGATGTTGGAAATTTGATCTCTGGTTCCTCTGCCTTTTCTAAATCCAGCTTGAACATCTGGAAGTTCATGGTTCACGTACAGTTGAAACCTGGCTTGGAGAATTTTGAGCATTACTTTGCTAGCCTGTGGGATGAGTACCATTGTGCGGTAGTTTGATCATTCTTTGACATTGTCTTTCTTTGGGATTGGAATGAAAACTGAACTTTTCTAGTCCTGTGGCCACTGCTGAATTTTCCATATTTGCTGGCATATTGAGTACAGTGTGTTCACAGTGTTATCTTTTAGGATTTGAAATAGCTCAACTGGAATTCCATCACCTCCACTAGCTTTGTTTGTAGTGATGCTTTATGAGGCCCACTTGGCTTAACATTCCAGGATGTCTGGCTCTAGGTGAGTTATCAAACCATCATGATTATCTGGGTTGTGAAGATCTTCTTTGTATAGCTCTTCTGTGTGTTCTTGCCACCTCTTCTTAATGTCTTCTGCTTCTGTTAGGTCCATACCATTTCTGTCCTTTATTGAGTTCATCTTTGCATGAAATGTTCCCTTGGTATCTCTAATTTTCTTGAAGAGATCTCTAGTCTTTACCATTCTACTGTTTTCCTCTACTTCTTTTCATTGACCACTGAGGAAGGCTTTCTTATCTCTCTTTCCTATTCTTTGGAACTCTGCATTCAAATGGAAATATCTTTCTTTTTCTCCTTTGCTTTTTGCCTCTCTTTTCACAGCTATTTGTGAGGCCTTCTCAGGCAGCCATTTTACTTTTTTGTATTTCTTTTCCATGGGGATGGTCTTGATCCCCATCTCTTGTACAATGCCAGGAACCTCTGTCCATAGTTCATCAGGTACTCTGTCTATCAGATCTAATCCCTTGAATCTATTTCTCACTTCCACTGTATAAAGGGATTTGATTTAGGTCATGCCTGAATGGTCTAGTGATTTTCCCTACTTTCTTCAATTTCAGTCTGAATTTGGCAATAAGGAGTTCATGATCTGAGCCACAGTCAGCTCCCAGTCTTGTTTTTGCTGACTGTATGGAGCTTCTCCGTCTTTGACTACAAAGAATATAATCAATCTCATTTCAGTATTGACCATCTAGTAATGTCCACGTTAGTCTTCTCTTGTGTTCTTGGAAGAGGGTGTTTGCTGTGACCAGTGCGTTCTCTTGGATAAACTCTATTAGCCTTTGCCCTGCTTCATTCAGTACTCCAAGGCCAAATTTTCCTGTTACTCCAGGTATTTCTAGATGTTCTACTTTTGCATTCCAGTCCCCTATCACTAAGAGGACATCTTTTTTGGGTGTTAATTATAGAAGATCTTGAAGGTCTTCATAGAACTGTTCAACTTCAGCTTCTCCAGCATTACTGGTCGGGGTATAGACTTGGATACTATGGTATTGAAGGGAAGTCCTAGACTTTCTTTAAATAGGTCGTCTTTACATTCTCTCTGTAGTTTTATAAAATTTTTGTGTAGATGTCTTACACATTTTTATTATATTTATTCATCAGTTTTGGATGTCTTTTAAATGCTATTAAAGTACTGTCTTTTAAACATTTTCATTGTTTAGCTTTCTGTCATTGGTGTCAGGGCTTCCTGGTGGCTCAGACGGTAAAAAATCTGCCTGCAACGTGGGAGGCCCTGGTTTGAATCCTGGGTGGCAAGATCCGCTGGAGAAGGAAATGGCAGTACACTCCAGTATTCTTGCCTGGAGAATTCCAGGAGAGAGGAGCCTGGTATGCTATAGTCCATGGGGTCACAAAGAGTCGGACACAACTGAGCAACTAACAGTTTTCCTTTTTGGTATGAAGAAACGTAATAGTCTTTATTGAAGAATTGCTTTACCAATGGTCCATACTTCTTGCTAGATTAAATGATTAATTCTACTCATTTATTACTAGTTAGAAAAATTTTCTCAAGTTTTTTTTTCTCCATTAGTTTCATCTTTTATATATCTTTTGTGCCTTATTGAACTTGTACATCCCAGAACAATGCTCAAGAATGGTCATAGGGTTTTAAAAAACCCAGAGCCCAACAAGGTAAAACTCACAGAGTATGGCATTCAATTAAAAAAAAGTACTAGGTATGTAAAGGAGTAGGAAAATACAACCTAGAATAAGGAAAAAATTCAATAGAGAAGAGACCCAGAAATTACACAGATGACAAAATTAGTAGATAAGTACATTAAACAGTCATTATAATTATATTCTTGAGCCAATCTTTGCATGACATGTTCCCCTGGTATCTCTAATTTTCTTGAGGAGATCTCTAATCTTTCCCATTCTATTATTTTCCTCTGTTTCTTTGCACTGATCACTGAGGAAGGCTTTCTTATCTCTCCTTTCTGTTCTTTGGAAGTCTGCATTCAGATGGGTGTATGTTTCCTTTTCTCCTTTGCTTTCACTTCTTTCCACAGCTCTTTGTAAGGCCTCCTCAGACAGCCGTTTTACGTTTTTGCATTTCTTTTTCTTGGGGATGGTCTTGATCACTGCTTGCTGTACAATGTCACAAACTTTGTGGTGATGGATGTTAACTTGACATTGTGATGCCCATTTGCAATATGTACAAGTATCAAACCATTATGTTGTACACCTGAAGCTAATATAATGTTGGATGTCAACTCTACCTCAATACAAAAGAAGACCTTTTCATATATATGAAAGCTTAACTACTTATCCACAGAAGTGTAAGAAATGTTAAAGAAAGTCCTCCAGGCGGAAAAAATGTTACCCAATAAAATCTGGATCTTTATGAAGTAATGCAGAGTATAAAAGATACTTGTATGGGTAAATATAAGAGTTTTGTTTGATTTCCTATTTTATTGAAAGCAAAAATTTTTCATTTTTTGATTTGCTGACAGTTTACCTCTGTAGAAAGAAGTGAAAGCCAATAGAGGAACTCTTATGCTGACCTTAATTTTGATTAAATAGAGGAGAACTCATTTATGAAATAGAAGGGAAGAATAATTTTATAAATAGTGATCATGTTATTTAAAAGTTAAAAATTGTCAAAGAGATTGTGGACATTGTTAGACATGTACAAGAAATACATAAAATCCCTGTTTCAATATGATCAGCAGAAAACAAAAAATGTTCCTAAAGTAAGAGATGATACAAATAAAATTAGCCTAACAGGTTGACAGAAAACCACTCTTAATGAGTAAAATTCTGACAATGCAGTTTGCTGCATGTTAAACTTTTAAAAAATTAATTATTTTAGATATAATCACTTTTTTTTAGACTTCCTGCCCATTTAGGTCAACACAGAGCATTGTGTACAGTTTCCTGTGCTATACAGTATGTTTTCATTAGCTACCTATTTTATACATAATAGTGTGTGTATGTGTATATATGTATATGTGTGTATGTGTATATATATACACACATACACACAGGTGAAGAATCCACCTGCCAATGCCAATGCAGAAGACAGGGGTTTGATCCTTGGGTTAAGAAGATCCCCTGGAAAAGGAAATGGCAACCTACTCCAGTATTTGTGCCTGGAAAATCCCATAGACAGAAGAGCCTGGTGGGCTTGTAGAAGAGTCAAATGTGACTTAGTGACTAGACAACAACAACAGTGTATAAATGTTGACTCTAACCCCCCAACTCATTGCCTCTCCCATCTTCCCTTGGTGTCCATAGTTTGTTTTCTAAGTCTGTGTCTGCATTTCTGCTTTGGGAATAAGTTCACCTATACCATTTTTCTAGATTCTACATATGAGTGATGTTATATGATATTTTTCTCTTTCTTCATTCAGAGTTCAGATTAAAAAGACATCTTAAAGTATGTATATATAATTATTCATTTTTCTCATCACTGCAGAAGTTGAGAAAGCTTCAAAGAATGTATATATGGGAAAGTTAAAGTAGCTAAAAATTCAGGTAGAAAACATGGAAAGAATAGATATGTGGATATTCTGTACATAGTATATAAACAGAAGTTAAACACTGGGGAAGTTTGAACATAGTTGTCAGATCATAAAAGGGCATGTACAGAACTTCGGAACTATGTCTGTCCTATATTACACACTCAGGAAGTAATAATTGAATAAGTGAATAAAACAGAGAAGCATAGAAATATGATCTAGGAAGCTTAAAGAGAACAATTTATTGTAAAAATTGATAAAGAAAATTAAAATGGGGACTTCCCTGGCGGTCCAATGGCTAAGATTCTGTGCTCCCAGAATCCTGTAGGGTAGGGTAGATGATATAGGGATAGCAGAGCTACTGAATTTCTGAACCAGATTGGATTCTTCTATCAATAGGAGCAAATGATTTTCAACACAGAAAGTATGGAACACACATAGTTGGAAATTGAATTTTAAATACTTAGTGTATAATATAGGGACTTTAAGTGGTATTATCTTCTAATAGAAAGATTTTGCATTTTTCTCTGCAAAACAGATGGAGAGTCTGCTGGAGTCAGTGGAGATCTCAATGGAGATCACCTTAATCTAATCATGGTTTGTGTTATGTACAGTTTTTCCAGGGCTTAGTTTACCTCCTGTGTTCATTGTATAAAGTATGGTCCTCTGGGGATTTCAACTGTGAGCCAAATGTGTCTGACCACTGCCACCCCCATGTTCTGAATTCTAATATTTAATGACTCCGCGTTTCAGAGTTTTAGCTTAGATTTTTAGCATTATCCTGCTTCTTATCCCCTTGCTAACATCTTAAGGGGAAAACAAATCATGTGTTTTGAGGCACTTCAAATCCAGTTTTGTCATGTGGCCCAACAAGACCATAATAAACTTATTTTCTAGCTCCTTAATAGCAGCCCTCTGCCAGATCTAAACCCAGATTCTTTCTGTCCTGTTATCAGCAATTATCCCAGGAGAAAAAAAGCACCTACAGATTGATAGATAACCTTTCAGAGATTCTGTCCTCTTCAGAATCTTAACCCCTCTTGTCTGTGCTGACAACTCCTAGATTTGGAAGCATTCACAGCCCTGTGAAGACTTAAAAATGTATATTTTATCGGGGTTTATAACAAATACATCATATTTAGAACAAATAAAAATTCAGTTCTGTTTTGTTATATTTTATATGGATTAATTTGGTAAAAATACAAAATTGCGGTGTTCTGCAAACTACATTCCCTCTAAAGCCAAAGTCATGCAATGAGTTATACATTCTTTGAGCTTGTTAATTTCTACTTTAAACAGTAAAAATTGCAAAATGCTTTTGAGCTTATTTCATAATTTCTAATACCACATACATAATAATACATTATTATGAAAGTGGATTGTTTTTCACTTTCAGTAAATTTAAAAATCACGTGAAATAATAATGCTGGCTCAGATGCTGTTTGAAGGATTTCACATCTCTACAAGATGTAAAGTGTGATTTTTCTGTTTTTGTAAGTGACAGAAACTACCTATTTATTTTTGAGTGACTATGCAGGAATAAAACATGAAGGAAAGAATAGAGAAGCACCAACTTCAGCATAGTGAAGCATATAGTTTCAAAGATACAGTGAGAGGTGGATTTTTTAGTAGATCAATGTTCCTGAAAAAATAAGCAGAGAACGAAATATCTAACTATTGTACTAGGTGTTAAATTCTGAAGTGTTAAATACAAATATAAAATTCTGAAATAAAAATAGCGAAGTGTATAAAAACAGGGAAATAAATTCTCATCCTTTTTGTATATAAAAAGAATGTTACTGTTGGTTATATGCTTTAAATTATTAGATGAATACAAATGACTGAATTGTGTAATAAATTAGGAGTATAATATAATGAGCATTAACTAGTTGCTAATTAAAATTTTAGATTATCACCTTCCTCTAGCCTATTAATTTGCATCTTCAATGCATATAAGGAATTATATTTAAGAAAGTGTGGATCATTTTACTAGAAAATTTATTAATCCAGGATTGCCACATAATCAATTTAAATAGTTAATGTATTTCTAGTTCATGTATTAATAATCAGTTAGTAACAAATAATACTATATAATTGACCAAATATCTTATATACTATTGATATTAAACCTGCTAGTTATGAATCAGGACAAGAACTGGTTCTGAATTTAACTTTAGAGTGAGCTAATAAAGTCAAAGAGTTAGTTGCTCAGTCATGTCCAATTCTTTGTGACTCCGTGGACTGTATAGCCCACCAAGCTCCTCTGTCCGTGGGATTCTCCAGGCAAGAATATTGGAGTGGGTTGCCATTCCCTTCTCCAGGGGTCTTCCTGACCACTCAGTATTCTTGCCTAGAGAATTCCATGGACAGAGGAGTCTGGTGGACTACAGTCCATGGGGTTGCAAAGGGTCGGACACAACTGAGCGGCTAACACTTCCACTTTGTTAGCCATACTCTAATGTTAAATTCAGAACCAATTCTTGTCCTGATTCATAATTAACAGGCTGTAATTTGCCCCTAAATATGTTTAAATAATGTATGCAGAGCCATGTTACTTTCTGTGTTCATATAATCAACCCTTTTCCCGTTTTAATGTTTCATTGTTAAAATCTTTTACTATATTCCATTTAAAATGTTTAAAAAATAAATATGTCTCTATTTAATGATAGCCATTTTTTAAAATTGTTTTTTAAATTTAAATTTATTTGCTTTTTAATTGAAGGATAATTGCTTTACAGAATTTTGTTCTATACGCTTATTGCAGAGTTATTTATTGTGCCCTATGTATTGAGAAAAATAAGCGATATATACCTCTTCTTTCAACATGTTTTTTATTTCTGGCATTCACAGGTCCCTGAAATTTGTGATGAACTACCCAACTTGACTAACCAATATGCTGCTTTCTTGTCAAGAACAGAAAGAACTACTAAAGTATCAGATGTGGTAAGAATGGTTTTCTAACCAAATGTGTTTGTAATTTAGGAATCGTGAGGAGACTGTGTAACATAAACATCATATTAGGACCTGAGAGTGGTACCTGGTGGCCCGTTGTGACATCTTCAGCTAGTGTGAAACTTCCATATTTTCAAAGTTCAATGAAATTCTTGAAGTTAATCAGAAGTCTAACATTGCTCCATGAGAAAATATTATATGCAATATTTCCTTTAGGGTCAGAGAGAATCCATTCTTAGGACAAATAGGAAAATTCAACTTGTATGTGAAGTGGAAGATTTACTTTAAGTTCAAATCAATTTACTCATAAGTGCACATATTTACCCTTTTCAGTTTGAATCTCTCTTGAAATTTAAGACTCTTGAGTGACATTTTTTATCCCTGTTAATCTGTGTTTTAAACTGTGTCGATGTGAACTTTGCTATTTGAATTTCCCTTTTTTTTTTTATAAATAGCTAATATTGAATAAATTGAAATAAGGAAAGCATGTGAAATTTAAAACTATATACTGAACTAATTCTTTCAAATTAAATTTATTAAAAGATCAAAGTGAAATTTAAAGTTAAAAAGTTAGAATTTTATGTACAGATATTGTTAAAATAAATTTTTATAGAAATTAGACTATCACAGGATATTATTAGTGACAAGAGCAAAATAGGACCATTAACCAGTTTTTAAAGTATAGCCAGTCAACCAGAGAAGTAGCATTGCTTGCTGAACTAAAATTCTACTGGGTACATAATTCCAAGAGTTCATTTACAGTGTTTTTGAATGGTGAAGTAACTTACAAGTGTAGGAAGAACTCATTTAAATGAAGTACAAATGCAAGCCTAGTTAAATACAGCTGTGAATGTTTAGGAATTTATAGAAATAAAATTAATTTGGTGAGATTCATTCATGAATGGACTTATTTTTTTTCTAAGACATTAGTTGACTGAATCTGAGAGATGGAGTCAAAATTAGCATTAGATCTAGCAGTGTCTTGACATTTAAGAGATTCTCATGATTGTTTTAACAAATTGTTTCCTCATCTTGAGGAATTTTAGGGTTGTGCTGTGATTCTCAAGTGAGTTATTGTTATACATACCTTTGGATCCATTGTGAAGTATGTCATGAGTAATTTATTACTAATGTAAAGCTTTTTAGGGCTTTCCTGGTAGCTCAGTTGGTAAAGAATCAGCCTGCAAAAAACTCTGCAGGAAACCAGTGTTTGATCCCTGAGTTGGTAAGATCCCCTGGAGAAGGAAATGGTAGCCCACCCCAGTATTATTGCCTGGGAAACCACATGGACAGAGGATCCTACAGTCCATGGGGTTGCAAGAGTCAGACATGACTTAGCAACGAAGCCTCTATAAAGTTTTTAAGCTTTGGAATATTCAGAATGAATTGAGTTATTTCTATTGTAGTATTATAGCTACTGGGGAAAACCAATGCAGATTTCTGAAGGTAATGCATAGGAATGTATATGTAAATGTTACACGTTATGTTTGTAGTGAAAAAAAGATGATTGAGAGATCTGTTCTAGAGAAAGATGAGTTGCCTACCAGTTGTTTTTACCTAACTTATGCTTGCCTCTTTTACCTTTTATCTCTCACTGCGTTTGGAAGCTCCTTTTTATTTAAAAAATAACTTGTGTTGAGATATAGTTGATTTATAGTGTTGTTAGCTTCAGGTGTGTACAGCAATGTGACTCTATTATACATACATCCATTCTTTTTTGAGATTCATTTCCCATATAGGCCATTACAGAATATGGAATCAGGTTCCTTGTGCTATGCACTAGATTCTTATTAGTTATCTATTTTATATATAGTAGTGAGTATGTGTCAGTCCCAATCTTCCAATTTATCCCTCCCCCACTTATCCCTAGTAACCATAAGTTTATTTTCTACATCTATAACTCTGTTTATTATTTGTAGATAAGTTCATCTTTAGCCTTTTTTGAAGATCCACGTATCGGCAATATCATATAATATTTGTCTTTCTCTCTTTGACTTACTTCACTCAGTATGGCAATCTCTATGTCCATGCATGTTGCTGCAAATGACAATATTTCACTTTTTATTGGCTGAGTAATATTCCATTTTATGTACATGTACCACATCCTCCTTATCTGTTCCTCTGTTGATGGACATTTAGGTTGCTTCCATGTCCTGGCTGTTGTAAATAGTACTGCAGTGAACAGTGGGGTGCATGTATGCTTTTGAATTATGTTTTTCCTTGGATATATCCCCAGGAATGGAATTGCTAGATTTTACGGTAGCTTTATTTTTAGTTTTTTGAGGAACCTCCATGCTGTTCTTCATGGTGAATTTACATTGTTACAAGTAGTGTAGGAGGGTTCCCTTTGTTCTAGACCCTTTGAAAGTCTTTATTGTTTGTAGATTTTTTAAATAGTATTTACTTTTTTGGCAGGAAACATTTGCATTTAAAACTATTGGTTGGGATTCAGCTTATCCAAAAAGCAACATAGTTTAGTCACATAGAATTCTTTGGATTTTGAATCCTTTCTACAAATGAGAATACCTTTCAAACATGTGGGTATATAATATGTATCTAATGAAAAATTCAGATTATTGATTTCAATATATCAGTATTGATCTCAAACTTATATTGATGAAATAATGGGATTAATTTTAAAAATTTCTTATCAAAATATTAGAACATTTACCTCCTATATATTTACATTTTATATATATGGATGTGCTACAGTCTTGAAGGAATGCATATAGTTTAATTTTCAACATATTACATAAGAGATTTACATAAAGGTACTTAAAAACCCAGACTTCTGGTTTCATATGAAAGAACATATATGTATGTACACATATATGTCTGTATCTCCCTTTTTTTACAAGGTCCCAATGAAATAACTTTAAAAAAAAACTACAATATAAGCATTAGTTGAATATAAAAAGACTAATGTATTGAAAATATGATAAATTGAAGCTAGACACAAGCCAAACATCTGTTTATTAGGCATTCCAGGAGCAGAATGCTAGGATGGTAGGAAGTATTTGATGTAAAAAACAGTAAGTTATCTTGAAGGGAATAAAGACATGTCTTCAATTAGAAGAGCTCAACAAAATACCACAGACAGATTTTCAAAGACATTTATTTTTTTCTCATTCTCTTGCATTTTCAGAAGACTAGAAATAAAATACCCTTGAAGCTTCCCCAGAGGAAAGTAACTGGGTCACCTACAATGGGATGAGAAACATACTGTTATCAACACTGTCTCATCAGCATTAGAGACTTTTCAGAGCAGGGAATGATGGAATAATATTTTCTAAAATTTCTAAGAGGCGATAATTTTGGACATATTGACAGAATTCTGTCTCTACCAAAGGTTTCAATTAAATGAAACAGGAAAATAATTTTCTGACATGCAAGTGCTTGAAAAGCTTAGTAACTCCACATCCCCATACGTGAAGATGGTCCAGAAAAATTAAAAAAAAAAAAAGGGAACAAGAGAAGGGTGACATAAACATTGAGAACATAAATTGAGAATTTCTGGATGAAGTAGAGAAAAGTGGAAAAAATTAATAAAGAAGACATTTTTAGTTCATGCTTGGGACATTCTTCAAAAGTCCGGGGTTTGGTGACCACAGAATTTCATTTACTTCTCTGTTTGGCTGCACTATTTGGTTTGATAGGAAATTATATTGATTTGAAATCAATCTGTATACATTGCAGAGGACTTAATTATAGTATAACAATATAAATATTAGAAACCTTAATATCATTAATAAAGTAATAGATCAAGAAGTGTAAAGTAGGAGATAGAATATGTTGGGTCTTTTATTTCATAGTGCAGAGCTAACAGATGTTATCAAAAATTGAGAAACTACAGTATTAATCCCTTCCTTATACTTAATTTGTAATGGTAAAATCCAAAGAAAAAAATCACACCTCAAACTAAAAAGCACAATTGCTACTAATTGTGTTTTTTATTTATTGTGTGAATTATTTCTCGGAATGGAACCAGGGAGAGGTTGAGGATAATTTTACCATTTATTTTGGACTCTTGTATTGATTTGATTTTTATTCATGATGTGAAGAGATTTTAAAATAAAAGTAAGAATAATACTCATGATTTTATGATGAGTATGCATTTGGAATGGTATTATGACATACTGGTGCCTGTACTGACTCATTTCTCTGCAAACAACCAAAATTCTAGATAAAATAGAAACAAAACATACTCATGACTGCTTCTAAGAATTAGAAAGAGAGGAGTAGCACAAGCTAAATTAAGGAAGGACCCCAGGGGCCAGCAGAGTCCTGAAGCCGACTCTCACCCGGAGGGCGTTTGCCAGGCTAGATGACCTTGAGGTTTTATTTGTACAGCCTCAGGGACCTCCAGAGAAAGAAAGAAACCTAGGCAGGTTAGGAGTAAAATGCAAATAAGTCTACCTTTCTTACACACCGAAGAATTTAAAGGAAGTTGGCTGGTGTTGAACTTTTGGTATAGAATGTGTTAGGGGAATCAGCCCTGAAATCCTGTTACATTTCACCTTCACTTAATGAGGTGAATTGTTAACACAAAATACCTGTCTGTTACAGATATTAATGAAATAAATCTTATTAATAAAAATAAGAGCTAGTGCTTATAATGTGCTTGTTTTATTCCAGAGACCATTTCAAATATGAAGCATGGTACTCATTTGAATATTATAATTATGGCCATCTTTTAAAATGAGGAAACTGAGTTTAAAGTTTTTTAAGTGGCAGAGTGGTAATTTCAAACTGAGGCAGTCTATCAATAGAATCCACTCCTTTAGGGATCTTTTTCTGCTCCTTTCCTGTAACTTGAAGAATTAGGCTTAACTAGAATAAATATGACAATACAACAGATGATTTTTGTGATTTAAGACCAAAGAGATCTGTGAAGATCTCAGACATTATTATAAAGCATAGAACTTTTTTTTGAAATGCGAAAGAAAGAAAAGGTTATGTTTATTAGAAACTGATGGAGGATTCAGCGTTAT